CCTATATCATGGTTTCCACGAAAATATGAAGCAGAAGCACAGCTGTTTTCAACACTGATAATAATCATAAATGTTTCTTGATCATCAAATCATTATATTACAATGATTTCTGAAGGATCATGTGACACTGAAGACTGGAGTAATGATGCTGAAAATTCAGCTTTGATCACAGGAATAAATTACACTTTACTATATATTCACATAGAAGACATTTTCAGTGAAATTTCGTTTCTTGCCTGCTTTAGCCATGTTCTTGCAGGTTTCTTTTGCCAAATTGGACTAATTACCATATTTAAATTAATTTAATTGGGGGAGGAGACTGGGTGGGGCGTTGTACTCGTGCAGGTGCGCTCAATTTTACGTTAATTGGGATGTACAAAGAGAATATGCGTGGGATCCTTCGTACGCAGAGATTCATACATCTGCTTTTTTTTGTGCGTACGCACATTTACAGCTTTGTCCGTACGCAATGTTTTAGTATGAATTCAACGCAAGTCTTTGTACATGAGGCCCAAGGTGTAAACAGGTATGTCTCCCTCATCCACTTGTGATCCGATCGATCAAAACGCATCTTAATACCAAGTGTGAACAGAGCCTAAAAGAGTGTAGAAACTTTTAGGGCTTGCCATCATGGGATCATGTTATGAATTAGTTTTAATTAATTTAATTTGTTTGAATTATTTCGAACATTTTATGAATTAAACAACCCGTAAACATATCACTAGAACAAAAATGAAACAACCCATTAAACACGAAAGTAATGCAATCATTGAAGACATTTCTCCTTATAAACATAAGAACTCTATTTAGAACCCCATTGAATCTTTTTTTTCTAGGAGTGTATTCCGTTACCCCGGGAAACACTCACAACAAACAAAGCAACAAGTCAAAGTTTCAAAATTACGGCACAACTTTCACCTTTTTCAGTTCTTCCTCATATATATATATATATATATATATATATATATATATATATATATATATTACACTGGACTCCGAGAGGGAAGAAAGTCCTGTATACCTGCTTTTTCTACAAGCCCATGGATACTAGAAGGGATGTGTTCTTGATCCGGCTTTATCCTTTGAGCTGGAGGGGGTGAAGCCAGCCAAAGTCCAGACTACACAAATTGAGACAACCAGATGACATCCCTGATCCATCCATGAGATGAACCTGCAAGCACACAGAACTTTGTTTCAGTGTCCTCTTACAGATACACAACACATTCTACAGGACAAACTGTTGGAAGGTCAAACTACAGAGTGATGTCAGATTTGTGAACGAATCCTCCTTTTGAGCTGGTTCTTTTAAATGATTCAGTTGAATTGATTTGCAAAGCACTCATAAGACACTCAACTGTGAGGTAATCCGGAAGGTAAACATGTTGACAAGAAAACATCTTATCTGAGAGCATGAAACTCATGGATGAACTAATAAAATTTCATTTGAATTTTTAACTAATGAAATAATCCAAAAATATATACTGAAATATAAAAAAAAAACTAATTTTAAATGCCGCACTGCATAATATATATAATCGAATAGTATTTTTGCCTTATTTTCCAGTCTAAATATCTAAAGATTCTTAAATCAAGATGCATTTAATGAGAAGCAAAATGCCTGAAGATATTAAGTCTTGTTTTCTTTTTTTTTTTTTTTAAGGTGCTATATGGAACTTTTCTTCTAAAATGAATCCTTTTTTTATTGCCTGTGTGTGAAGGGGTTGTAATCACACATTACAATGATCCACTTGTCGGGTTTTGCTATTACCTCTGAAGGCCAGTATTCCTATTTCTATGTGAAGTCTCCGGGTCGGATTTACCGCGAAATCAAACGGATGTGACGTGCATGCGCGCTCCCGAGCCTCTCTCCTTATATAGAGTCTATTGTAAACGGTCAGGGAGTTACGTCCGGTTAAAGGCGCACGTTTTTCGGCTTATATCTCAGTCAATCTTTGATCAATATTCCCAAGACTCTAATCGTTCGTAGTGCTGGACGGGGCCTTTCGAACGAGCCCACCCCCGAGGTCCAAGTCGCCCGGCTCCCCGAGTTATAGCCGTTCGAAATCGGGGGTCCCAGCGAACAGCGATCCGGTAGGGGCCATCCCCGAGGCCCGCCACTCTAGCGTTCGGGCAAGGGTTCCCCTGGGACCTCCTCCCCCGAATTTGAGCTCTCTGGGTCTTTGCGTTCCAGAGATACGAGCGATTTTCTTCTGAGATCGTGACGTCACCGGCGTCCGCAATTTTGCAGCGCGCCCGATTGCTTTTTGCTAATATCTCCGCGAAAACACCACCAAAAACTATGGAACTTATATGGTTCTTTTCAGCTCGACTAGATGGTCCCAACGAGCTCGGTGCTCGCCAAATCCGTCTAGTATTCGCCGAGATATTTGCGTAATAGACGGTATTGTCTATGAGTTTGAGCACGAGCACCGACTTGTAAAATTTGGTTGCAATCTGAAACATCACCACTAGAGGCCGCTAAAAGTTACGTAGAGCACCTTTAATGAATTGAGTTTAAGCTTAACACAAGAATATCTGCCAATGGGGTCAACAAATAATCTTAATTCAAAAGGAAAGCAAGAGTTGTTTTTCTGACGACACTGGCAGATATATGTTCTTGTTTCTTTTAAGCATAAACGTTAGTTTTTCATAAAACAAGCCTTAATTATCTTCAGTCATTTGCTTCTCAAGTCAATGCATCTTGATTCAATAATGTTGAGATATTCGTGCTGGAAAAGAAGGCATTTTTAACCAGTTATTTGACATGAATTGTCCAAATCTTAAAATGAATCAGATCTCTTATAACTCCTATAAATTATAAACTTAATTTCAATCTGTGCCATGTCTTCCCAAAATGCACTCATTTATAGGGTGAGCATTTTTTAATCATTGCAATAATTCAATAATTAACTTTAATTCATGCTAATCATCACTTTACATTCTTATGTGTACATAACTTATTTACTTATAATATTGCAGACATGGTGTTAAAATAGCTGGTTAAACAGCCTGTTCTCACGCAAATGCGTCTCTATAGCACGCATTGTGTATTATCGTGCAATTTATACGCGAAAATGAGTTTTTACGTGCATATGATAGGCTACGCAGTTTTCGCGTGCATTTGATACGCAGGTCATTTGCGTGTAATACACACGCACCCCTACTAACCTACCTAACCACTACTAAACCTACCCTAACCCATCCGTATCCTATCCTATGCACGTAAAAACTCATTTTCGCGTATAAATTATACGATAAACACTGCGTGCTATAGAAACGCATTTAGTGTGATCGGGTTGGGTTAAAATGTAAAGATCCAGTAGACACTGACTACACTTTTAAAGTCTGTGGGAAATGTTCCTGGCTGTCTGGAGGCTGCTGTCCACACGTGGGCTTTGAGCGTGTTTTTCTGTACGTACTGCATCCAGTGCCTCTGTGTGTTGCACTACACGGTCCCAGTGCGCTGGTTTCCAAGCAACACATGTACACAGGGAGCGTCGTCCGTTGGCGTCTCTGAACTGTGTGGAAACTGTAGGATGAAGTGAAGAAGGGAGGGTGACAGCAGCTCGAGTTTCAAAGTAGAACACAAAATTATTAAACTTAGTGTGAAAACCGAAACTTGCACATTTTTTTACTCAGTATTTTTATCTTGTTTTCCAGTAGCTACACATATCTAAAAATTCTTAATTTCTTAATGTCCCCCTAATTGTATCCCTTAAAACTCATCTATGATCACCAAAATGACATTTTTTTTACACGCCTTAAAATAGCTTGAATGTAACTCGACACCCTTGTCTCATTTAGTATACGCGGTTCTATGAATATGCAACTGAGCCCCGCCTCCACTCACTCACTCAGCTCAGAGATCCACTGGTTGACGATCACACGTTGATCTGATTGGTTACAAGGTCGTTTGTGACGTCAGAAACACCAGCGATTTCAAACCGTGTGTTTGAGACTGTCTTTGGTTCACTGCAGTTTGAAGCAGAAAATACTCAGCCATGCTGTCGACTTATGAATTTGCACAGGGTTTGTCTTAAAGCGCATTAAAAACACCACATAGACACATACACAACATTAAAAGCTGGATTTTCACCACAAGGGGACTTTAAGATATTAAGCGTTTAGTGAAAAGGTGGGTTTATGCTTGAAACAAGACAAAAATCTGCCATTGAGGTAAGAAAAATAATCCCGTTTTCCCTTTTGTATTAGGTTTTATTTTCTTACCCCACTTACAGATATTTTTGTCTTGTTTTAAGCACAATTGTTTTTGTTGATTTTTAAGTGATTTTGCTTCTCAAGTACAAGGTTTCAGGCATAGGCGGAGTTTGACATTCGAGCCAGGGGGGGCAAAAAAAAAAAAAATCATTGTAGCATTCATTCATTCATTCATTCATGTAGCAATCATTGTCGTTCGGACACAATTAGGATAAATGAAATGTGGACCACTTTTGCACTGTTAATATATTATCTTCAACCAAAACAAAAAGATTTTTAGTTTTTCTTTTCTTTCCTTTTTTCAAAACACATTGTGGCAATGAGAGTGATTAAAGTTATATTTCGCATTTTATTGTACTTCATGAAACATTTAAAACATTTTGAGACACGGGAAAAATGAACAGTCACACAATAGCCTACTCTCCGATTCGGAGTATTCGAACATTTTATGAATTAAACAACCCGTAAACATATCACTAGAACAAAAATGAAACAACCCATTAAACACGAAAGTAATGCAATCATTGAAGACATTTCTCCTTATAAACATAAGAACTCTATTTAGAACCCCATTGAATCTTTTTTTTCTAGGAGTGTATTCCGTTACCCCGGGAAACACTCACAACAAACAAAGCAACAAGTCAAAGTTTCAAAATTACGGCACAACTTTCACCTTTTTCAGTTCTTCCTCATATATATATATATATATATATATATATATATATATATATATATATATTACACTGGACTCCGAGAGGGAAGAAAGTCCTGTATACCTGCTTTTTCTACAAGCCCATGGATACTAGAAGGGATGTGTTCTTGATCCGGCTTTATCCTTTGAGCTGGAGGGGGTGAAGCCAGCCAAAGTCCAGACTACACAAATTGAGACAACCAGATGACATCCCTGATCCATCCATGAGATGAACCTGCAAGCACACAGAACTTTGTTTCAGTGTCCTCTTACAGATACACAACACATTCTACAGGACAAACTGTTGGAAGGTCAAACTACAGAGTGATGTCAGATTTGTGAACGAATCCTCCTTTTGAGCTGGTTCTTTTAAATGATTCAGTTGAATTGATTTGCAAAGCACTCATAAGACACTCAACTGTGAGGTAATCCGGAAGGTAAACATGTTGACAAGAAAACATCTTATCTGAGAGCATGAAACTCATGGATGAACTAATAAAATTTCATTTGAATTTTTAACTAATGAAATAATCCAAAAATATATACTGAAATATAAAAAAAAAACTAATTTTAAATGCCGCACTGCATAATATATATAATCGAATAGTATTTTTGCCTTATTTTCCAGTCTAAATATCTAAAGATTCTTAAATCAAGATGCATTTAATGAGAAGCAAAATGCCTGAAGATATTAAGTCTTGTTTTCTTTTTTTTTTTTTTTAAGGTGCTATATGGAACTTTTCTTCTAAAATGAATCCTTTTTTTATTGCCTGTGTGTGAAGGGGTTGTAATCACACATTACAATGATCCACTTGTCGGGTTTTGCTATTACCTCTGAAGGCCAGTATTCCTATTTCTATGTGAAGTCTCCGGGTCGGATTTACCGCGAAATCAAACGGATGTGACGTGCATGCGCGCTCCCGAGCCTCTCTCCTTATATAGAGTCTATTGTAAACGGTCAGGGAGTTACGTCCGGTTAAAGGCGCACGTTTTTCGGCTTATATCTCAGTCAATCTTTGATCAATATTCCCAAGACTCTAATCGTTCGTAGTGCTGGACGGGGCCTTTCGAACGAGCCCACCCCCGAGGTCCAAGTCGCCCGGCTCCCCGAGTTATAGCCGTTCGAAATCGGGGGTCCCAGCGAACAGCGATCCGGTAGGGGCCATCCCCGAGGCCCGCCACTCTAGCGTTCGGGCAAGGGTTCCCCTGGGACCTCCTCCCCCGAATTTGAGCTCTCTGGGTCTTTGCGTTCCAGAGATACGAGCGATTTTCTTCTGAGATCGTGACGTCACCGGCGTCCGCAATTTTGCAGCGCGCCCGATTGCTTTTTGCTAATATCTCCGCGAAAACACCACCAAAAACTATGGAACTTATATGGTTCTTTTCAGCTCGACTAGATGGTCCCAACGAGCTCGGTGCTCGCCAAATCCGTCTAGTATTCGCCGAGATATTTGCGTAATAGACGGTATTGTCTATGAGTTTGAGCACGAGCACCGACTTGTAAAATTTGGTTGCAATCTGAAACATCACCACTAGAGGCCGCTAAAAGTTACGTAGAGCACCTTTAATGAATTGAGTTTAAGCTTAACACAAGAATATCTGCCAATGGGGTCAACAAATAATCTTAATTCAAAAGGAAAGCAAGAGTTGTTTTTCTGACGACACTGGCAGATATATGTTCTTGTTTCTTTTAAGCATAAACGTTAGTTTTTCATAAAACAAGCCTTAATTATCTTCAGTCATTTGCTTCTCAAGTCAATGCATCTTGATTCAATAATGTTGAGATATTCGTGCTGGAAAAGAAGGCATTTTTAACCAGTTATTTGACATGAATTGTCCAAATCTTAAAATGAATCAGATCTCTTATAACTCCTATAAATTATAAACTTAATTTCAATCTGTGCCATGTCTTCCCAAAATGCACTCATTTATAGGGTGAGCATTTTTTAATCATTGCAATAATTCAATAATTAACTTTAATTCATGCTAATCATCACTTTACATTCTTATGTGTACATAACTTATTTACTTATAATATTGCAGACATGGTGTTAAAATAGCTGGTTAAACAGCCTGTTCTCACGCAAATGCGTCTCTATAGCACGCATTGTGTATTATCGTGCAATTTATACGCGAAAATGAGTTTTTACGTGCATATGATAGGCTACGCAGTTTTCGCGTGCATTTGATACGCAGGTCATTTGCGTGTAATACACACGCACCCCTACTAACCTACCTAACCACTACTAAACCTACCCTAACCCATCCGTATCCTATCCTATGCACGTAAAAACTCATTTTCGCGTATAAATTATACGATAAACACTGCGTGCTATAGAAACGCATTTAGTGTGATCGGGTTGGGTTAAAATGTAAAGATCCAGTAGACACTGACTACACTTTTAAAGTCTGTGGGAAATGTTCCTGGCTGTCTGGAGGCTGCTGTCCACACGTGGGCTTTGAGCGTGTTTTTCTGTACGTACTGCATCCAGTGCCTCTGTGTGTTGCACTACACGGTCCCAGTGCGCTGGTTTCCAAGCAACACATGTACACAGGGAGCGTCGTCCGTTGGCGTCTCTGAACTGTGTGGAAACTGTAGGATGAAGTGAAGAAGGGAGGGTGACAGCAGCTCGAGTTTCAAAGTAGAACACAAAATTATTAAACTTACTGTGAAAACCGAAACTTGCACATTTTTTTACTCAGTATTTTTATCTTGTTTTCCAGTAGCTACACATATCTAAAAATTCTTAATTTCTTAATGTCCCCCTAATTGTATCCCTTAAAACTCATCTATGATCACCAAAATGACATTTTTTTTACACGCCTTAAAATAGCTTGAATGTAACTCGACACCCTTGTCTCATTTAGTATACGCGGTTCTATGAATATGCAACTGAGCCCCGCCTCCACTCACTCACTCAGCTCAGAGATCCACTGGTTGACGATCACACGTTGATCTGATTGGTTACAAGGTCGTTTGTGACGTCAGAAACACCAGCGATTTCAAACCGTGTGTTTGAGACTGTCTTTGGTTCACTGCAGTTTGAAGCAGAAAATACTCAGCCATGCTGTCGACTTATGAATTTGCACAGGGTTTGTCTTAAAGCGCATTAAAAACACCACATAGACACATACACAACATTAAAAGCTGGATTTTCACCACAAGGGGACTTTAAGATATTAAGCGTTTAGTGAAAAGGTGGGTTTATGCTTGAAACAAGACAAAAATCTGCCATTGAGGTAAGAAAAATAATCCCGTTTTCCCTTTTGTATTAGGTTTTATTTTCTTACCCCACTTACAGATATTTTTGTCTTGTTTTAAGCACAATTGTTTTTGTTGATTTTTAAGTGATTTTGCTTCTCAAGTACAAGGTTTCAGGCATAGGCGGAGTTTGACATTCGAGCCAGGGGGGGCAAAAAAAAAAAAATCATTGTAGCATTCATTCATTCATTCATTCATGTAGCAATCATTGTCGTTCGGACACAATTAGGATAAATGAAATGTGGACCACTTTTGCACTGTTAATATATTATCTTCAACCAAAACAAAAAGATTTTTAGTTTTTCTTTTCTTTCCTTTTTTCAAAACACATTGTGGCAATGAGAGTGATTAAAGTTATATTTCGCATTTTATTGTACTTCATGAAACATTTAAAACATTTTGAGACACGGGAAAAATGAACAGTCACACAATAGCCTACTCTCCACGTTTGAAACACAATTGTGGCAATGAGAGCGATTAAAAAAAAAAAAGTTATTTCGCATTTTGTTGTAGCCATTTCATGAAACATTTAAAACATTGAGACACGGGAAAAATTAACGGTCACATAGCCTACTCTCCACTTTTGAAACATATTGAACAGCATATTGAAAGCAGTGTGTTGAGTTTTTCTCCATCTTAAGCAGTTATTTGGCAGAGAAATAAAACTTACAGACCTAGATATTGCTCAGACTAGTGCAACAGTAATTTTCGTTTTTTTGCGTCCTGCGTCGATAATGGTCTCAGGTGAGAGCTTGGCCGTAATGTCGCTTTCGATGTGAAGGATCGCAAGAGAAGAAAACCTGGCTGCTCCCATCGTCAACCGCAGCCTGTTCTTTATCCTCTCATGGAGAGTCGGCCTGGCATGAATAATACAGCGGTTTTAGTCCTTTTTGGGGATCCATGTGAACGGACGTGTCTGTACGCGAAAAACACACAGGAAATTCCTCACTTACCGCGATACTTTGAGATCCGCCAGTCGTGAGAAAATTAGCTTCTTTTTCAATACAGTAATTAAAAATAATTTAGCCTTAACTTACTCATTATACCCGCAAAAATGATAAGATAAGACAAATAAAATGAGAAAATATGAATACAGTATTTTTTTTTTTTTTTTTAAAGCACAAGGCAGGCATTAATTGGCTCTGGTCTGGGGGGGCAGTGCCCCCCCTAGCCCCCCCCAAACTCCGCCTATGGTTTCAGGATGAACTTTCATTTAAGACTAAATATAAAGACCTTTTTAAGACCAAGTAATTGAAGGGAACACAACTTGCCAAATATGGTCTCTAAATGTAAATGTCTATAAATGTTTTTTTTTTTTTTTGCAAAACTAAAAAAAAAACTAAAATATTTTTTTGGAAAACAGGACAAAAATGGATTTTCATTACAATAGATATTCGTTTTTTTGCAATGCATGCAACATTTCAAGCATTTAAGACTTTACTTTCTGCTCTGATTTAAGAACTTTTTAAGGCCTTAGGCTACTTGAGTAAGGGTGAATTAAGACCCGCAGAAACCCTGAAGTAAATGTACCTTGATTTAAGAATGTTTAGATATTTCCAAGACAAAAATACTAAACAAGACACATTTGCAGCACAGAGCCACTCACAAAACACAGCGCATGGTGTGTTTTCATTCAACTGATTTTCCTAAGCCATCTCTTTAGACACAAGCAGACTGGAGCTGACAAGCTAGCGCCGTGTCAATCACACCAGAGGATGTTCTCTCGGCTTGTTTTCTTCCTGCTCTGATCCTCGGGGAGTTTGCACTAACCAGCATGGCCCTGGGCTTCCTTTCAGGGGCTGAGGGCCTGGAGTGCTGCTGCTGTTTTGCAACAGAGACCATACAAAACCATACAGAGCTGGACCGAATTACCAAGTCAACACTGAAGAGTGCTTCTGTTTGGAGTACAGCTCCAAATCTGGGATTCTGCGGCTCAATCCAATTAACCGCAGCATGACAAGCACTAATTTAAAAACAAATGCAAAACAGAGGGGAAAAGTAAAGAAAACATCCCCGTTGAAAGAAATCCTGCTACTAATCTGGAGTTAACATTTAAGCAATATTCTGTGTTAAGTGCAATAAAGCTCAATGAGCAGCAGCTGTGACGTGCTGTCGATCACCAAAACTGATTTCAACTCGTTTCTCAGTAATAACTACAGTGTTTCAAAGTCCTAAAAAACATTTTAGTTTAGGGTCCAAATTGCTTATTAGCAAGCAAATTTCTAGGATATTGGCTGTTTATTAGTACTTATAAAGAACATATTAATCCCTTATTCTGCATGCTGCAACGCATTCTCAACCCAAGGCGTCACTAAAATGACAATTTTGACCATGCTTCAATATTCGACGCTTTAGGCACCCTTTAGCGTCAGTTACATGACGCGATCCTAGGGCGTCATCTTACTGATGCTTTACCTAAGCGTCAGTTTGATGACGCGGGTAGGTTTAGGTCTGGGGTAGGGTTAGGATTAGATAGCGTCATCTAACTGACGTTAAAGGGGTCATGAACTGGCTTTTTAATGTTTTTTATATTGTTGTCTGAGGTCAACTTATGACGTTCGCTTGGTTTTTACATTCAAAAACATCAAAATGAATAAGTAATAGGCTATTTTCTACCCTAGTTTTGAGCCTAGCTCAAAAACGCTCGGTTTTTATGGGCGTCTCGCATTGAAGACTTGGAAGTAAACGCCCACTGCTGTGAGTGGATAACAGTTTTGCATATTATAATGAGTTTCGTGTAATGCGCGAATCGGTGGGCGGGGCTAAACCGTCCGTGTTGAAGTAGGCGTTGATCTTCTTCTGCGGGGGTGGTTTTATCCTCTTTGTCGTCATAATTCCCCACTTTGAAAAACGAGTCGTTTGCTGAGCCTGGTGTCAATAAAAGCTTTTATTGGACTAACAAGGACGTTTTCAGTTCTGAAACTTAAAGGATATTCTTATAATATGATGACCTCTTAGATGTCAAAAGCTCAAAGGAAATTTGATTTCTCAGTTCATCACCCCTTTAAAGGTAAAGCGTCAGTAAGATGACGCCCTAGGATCGCGTCATGTAACTGACGCTAAAGGGTGCCTAAAGCGTCGAATATTGAAGCATGGTCAAAATGATTCCCAAGGCGTCGATTCATACTCAATAGCCAACGCGTTATTAGGAGTTTGTTGAGGCAAAAGTTGCAGTTAATAGTGAGAATTGGACCCTATTCTAAAGCATGACCAGAGAAAGTCGTCTAAAAGTTTGATTCTTGTAACTCACGCACATGTTATACCAAGAATACTTATTTGTTTTTTAAATATCCCAGTGCAATCACTGCAAAACAAGAATCTTTTTACTCTTATTTTCCAGTTCAAATTTCTAAACATTCTTGAGATACATTTACTTAAGAACCAAAAATACTTTAAATCTTGGTCAAACTTAAGAGTGTTTTACTTAAAACAAGAAAAAATATTTGTCCAAAGGGTAAAAAAAAAATCTTCACGAAACATGACTTGCTTCCCAAGTACTGTAAATGTATCTTAATGTATGAATTTGAGATATTTTTAATGGAAAACAAGACAAAAATACAAAAAAAGTTTTTGCCACTGATTGCCCTTTAAGTTCTCCAAATGTGTTACTGAGGAACGGGTGAAAATTATTTTCCATGTTAATCAACAGCACGTCTCAGATGCTGAAGTATTTAACCCAGAATATTCCTCTAAAGCAGAGATCAGCCCCCTTAAACAGTCATGTTAAGACATTGGCTGCAATGACAGGCTAAATCTCAGAAGACAGAGCAACACTCGGAGCTAATTAACCCATTAGACTCAAACATGTTTCCCAACATGCACTTGAGATCAGTTCCTATCAGAGTTTGCCAGCGGAGAGGCCCTTTGAAACGGAGCCTCTCAACTCTTCTGAAGAGCGTCCCAGACGGTTCCTTAGGTATTTTCTAATAAAAAACATCAACGTTTCCTGTGCATGAACGTCAGTTTGTAAACCACCGGGTTCCCACTTCTTCCTGGTGGTCATTTAAATAAGAGGGTGACCTAAAAAAGAGCCGGCGTGACTCATGAAGACGTGGGAGAGGAAAGCATGACTAAGATGACTGAACAATATCAACCACAGATGAAAGTGTCTCGGCTTTTTATTCGTTACCTCAAACAGACTCCAGTCTGGAACGGACCTCACCAAACACCTCCAGAGTGAAAAGCCACAAACCACGCAGCAGATCTGAGCTTTAACAGCTTTCCTTAATTGCACTAACATGACAGAATGTGAGAAATAAGAACAGAAATGCAATTAAAATAAGACTTAGTTCAGCCAAAAATCTTTCACTTATACCCTCATGCTGGTCCAAAGCATTTCTGAAGGATGTTCACGCTGCTCTTTCCCATGCAATAAAAGCATAGACTGATCGAGGGCTGTCAAGAAAGACAAAAAAGCACCGTAAAAGGTCTGAACATGCCGTAGCATGACATTTGAAAGTGGAAGTTTCATTTCAGTTTTCTTTTTAATTTGAACATGTTACTTTCCATTTCTTTGTAATTATTTGTGACATTTACTAGCAACTTCTGAGTTAGGGTTAGGGTTAGGGTGATTTCAGCAATCCTATAAGATCATTACAGAACACACTGTACAACATGGGTCTACTAAACTTGGGTATGACATGTGTATGTAGACTGTTGGATGATGATACCTATTGATTCGTAGGCTATACGACGCAAGTTAGTATAGAAGAATAAAATGTCATCATGTGCTAGTGGTAAACAAATAGAGCAAGATGAATCACACTTTGGCAATTGGGCTTCTTATGTGCGCTGAAAAAAGAGGAGAATATGGTCATGGCTAGAGAAAAGAGGCCAACTTGTCATGAATTTTGCAAATGGACCTTGAGGTAAGTATAGTTTTAAGTTTTAGCGCCATGTCACGTTGATCAAAACACCATTTTATACAGCCCGTTCTCATCCCAAGGCGTCATCTAACTGACGCTTTTGACCATGCGTCAACATGCCGACACACATGGTACCCCCTTAAGCGTCAATATGAGACGCGCCTCCTAGTGGTCTAACCCTAACCCTACCCCAGACCTAAACCTACCCATAACGGAAGCGTCATCTAACTGACGCTAAAGGGTGCCATGTGCGTCGGATTTAGACGCATGGTCAAAAGCGTCAGTTAGGGCCCTTACATAGTCAACGCATCGGTATGCATACGCGTGCGCAAGGCTACACATCGCTACGCTTCGGCCGCCATTATGCGTCGATGCGTAGCCAAATGTGTCATCCTTGTTTTTGATACGCGACGCGCCGATGCACGCTAATACTATGCGTTGTCGGTGGGGGCGACATTGCAAGTAATGTACATAAAAAGGTATATTATTATGTTTACAGAAGAAGAAGATTTGAATACAATGGCGGGCGAAGAAGAAAAGTTATGTGAGCTTGTTTTATTGCCGCCGATGTAAAATCAGCAATATGCACTCCTCTTCAGTTGCCATTTTGATCTGAATATCACGTGACCCGACTCTAGACTCTACTGCCCCCTGTTGCGCGATCGGTGTATTGCATTTCACGCATCGCCTGTGACGCTTGCGTCTGCTTGTGTACTATGAAAAGGAGCGTGTAGCTCGCGTCGCTCGCGTTGACTATGTAACGGCCCTTAGATGACGCCCGAGGATGAGCGTCTCATATTGACGCTTAAGGGGTACCATGTGCGTCGGCATGTTGACGCATGGTCAAAAGTGTCAGTTAGATGACGCCTTGGGATGAGAATGTGTTGTTTTATACACCTTTATATACTTTTTTTTGTTCTTTTTAGAGCTTATCAGATGCTTGGGTTAGGAACAAACAATGGATAAGCACGACACATATTTGTTTGAAGATATTTTGAAGAACGTCGGTTGTCAGTTGATAATGACTTCTTATGTATTTTTTCCCCCGTACTAAGTCAATGGGATCCAACAACTGTTTGGTTACCCATATTCTTCAAAATATCTTCTTTTGTGTTCAGCAGAAGAAAGTCTTACAGGTTTGGAACAACTTGAGGGCGAGTAAACGATGACAGCATTTTTGGGTGAACTATCCCTTTAAGAGCAAGGCATGGCCCTTTTTCTGCAGATGCTCTAAAGATCCTGACGGTAGTTTTTTGTTTGTAAGACTATTCAGGTCAGTCTTGCCACGGGCGCCCCCCTTGGGCCTCACTAAACTGTGCTACATCAGGTGGCTTGGTGCAGGCTTTTTTTTTTTTTTTTGGAAGTACCTGGACTGAACATGCCAGTTTCTATAAATGTTTGTAAGAGAAAAAAAACCTGACAGGTAAAAAGGGCTTTTGATGGGATAAGGAGGACAGTGAGAAAGGGAGGCAGGCGTGTGTATGTGAACTGTGGTGCCAGGCCCCTGGTCACAATCGCACAGATTTGCATTCCACTCTAACAGGATATTGCCCAAAGTCCCCCTGAGGAGCTTAGTCGTCGTGTTGGACCTTAACTCCCAGTGTGCACCACATCTCTCTCTCTCTCTCTCTCACACACACACACACACACACACACACACACACACACACACACACACACACACACACACACACACACACGAATAGACACTTTTTCTCTCTCTCCCTCCCTTTTCTTTCTCTCACAGCTTAATCCCCTCTGTCTCCTTTCTTTCTTTTAGCTCTTTCAGTTTAACTCTCACACTCTTCATCATCTCAGCTGCTCAGCCCTCCACTCGTCTTCTCATGGTCCCCTCAAACATTTAATTAGCTTATTGACATATCTTCTCTTACATGTGTTTACCTTCATTTTAAATCAGACACACAGTATCACATAGACGTATTTTGACATTTGGGCAATAAATAGGCGATTTCAAAAATATAGTTTGTTTATATTCTTCAAATGGTTACTTGTGTAATGAAAAATGCCATGCATGCTATACACTTGCTTTCAACTAAATTTGCATTTCCTGAAGGAAACAGCAGTGCTTGCAAGGCAGCAAAAATAAATGCAAAGGTGTGGCATTAACATTAGGCTTTGAGCATTTTAAATTACTTTAGCAACAGAAATATGGGATATTATGGCATGCACTTTTTCTTTTTAATCAATGATTCATCCCAAATATTTGTATTAAATTCAAAATTTTAATTTATACCATCTATTAGTCAATGTTCACCTGTGTGTTGCATATGAATGCAACACCCACTTCAAGCGCACCTATAGTTTTAGGCAAGCAGATTACCAAAAACAGACAGCACAGACTGAAATGATGTACAACACAAAAGTTTGAATCATGTTAAGCAGCTTTTAATAGCAAAATAATGTAATACTAAAAAGTTTTTAACCAAAATCACCATGGAATATCAATACAGTGCTACCTTGTATAAAACATTCAATGAAGAGAATTCACCGACTATTGATAAATTGTTGTATATACTCAATTATTTTGTTGAGAGATTGTCTAGTTTAACCAATATTTAAAGATTAATCTTATAGTGTACAGAAATTATGATAATAAAAAAGAATGTTACACTAAATCAACATTTGTTTTTCAAACCCAACATGGGTATTAAACGAGGAAAAACAATATACACGCCAATTCAGCCTTCCGTCATGAAGGAAATGTGATTCAGAGGCTGCAGTCAATGTTTTTACGAGTTTTAATTCTATATACCGCCTTCCCTGCCACAAAACCAGCCCCCACGCAGCTAGTTGAGAAACAAAAACTCTCTGTCCTATTCTCACACACACACACACACACACTAATGCACAAACTCACTCTGTCTTTGTCTCAAACACAGAGCATCTGGTCTTGGGTAGGGCAGCATATGTTTTAATTTTGATTGACTCACCTGTCACCTATACTGCCCTCCTCATTGTTACCCCCTCAAACACACACACACACACACACACACACACACACACACACACACACACACACACACACACACACACACACACACACACACACACACACACACACACATCCCCCCTTTTTTGCTCCCCGTAAAATACCTCTCCATTCCCCCCCCCTCCATCCTGCCAAACGCAGGCCATTAACCATTTCCTACGAGCTGCTGGTAAAAGGAAGGAAACAGCATGCCAGGCTTTCACACAACACGCGGCGCTAGAAAAGTTGTGCGCCCTTGAAGTCCAGCGAGCTGGGGTAAAAGTCATGCTAATTGACGGGCGAGCTTAATTCAAATGAGCCCGTAACTAAAATCGGACTAGAAAGAGTGGGGCGACCTGCGATAGGGCGAAACTTTCGAAACCTTTCAATCGGCCCGCCGTCGAACCACTTTGATGTGCTCAGCGCTTTTCATCAGTTTCCTCTCCGCGTATAAAAAAGGCATTTCAAGTACAAAGGCTCGTGAGCACATTTGTAATTTGTCTCCTCTTTCGAGAACAAATGGATGTGGCAAAAACCATTTTGCCTTGTTCTGGAAAAAAGAGAGAGATCTGAATGAAAGTGCATATGAAAGGTGCGAGGCAGGAGAGAGCGGACAGAAAGAGAAGAGAGGGGGGGGCATGATCTCAGCCTGATTTTTCACTCAAGTCAAACCCTATTTCACATCAGGCTGTTGTAACACCTCGTCCGTGAGCCCTTCGAGAGAGACGGATATAAATGAGGAGGGTAGAGAGGTGAAAAAACAGGGGGTGATCGAGAATAAAGGTCCAAATCCTTGACTGTGAAAACTGTGGCACCGGGGAAGTGTATGAACGCCTTGTTTGGCTAATAACCTGGAGTCTTGTAAAATGTGAATGAGGGAGTCCTCGGAGCTTATAATTTCACACCCGTGAGGCAGGGGAGATGAGTGTGAATTGAAGGAGGACAGATCCACGGTGACGGTTCCCCGGGCCGTCACACCGGAGAGGAGAAGGCGAGACCGCTGACTCCTAGAATAAAAAAGAAGTCTGGATCAGTCATCAAAACCCATACTGAGAGATGCAGAGTCACAGTTACTTACCATAAACCATGCGCTAATTTCATTCAGAGATAACCACTGTGACAAGCTCATGTCATTTTGACATTGTCAATGTCATTTTGATCCAAGCATATTAAGATTAAGATTATTAAGATTGGTAACCTGTAGGAATATTTTCAGTTCACTACAGTAAAATGGATATCAGAATATAATATTTTTTTGTAATATTATAACACATTTTTCTCCGCACATTGTTGTAAACATAACAATGGATAAAAGTTGGGGCTAATGTGTTTACTTGCACCTACATATCAATCCCACATGTAATCTGTCAGTCTCACAATGGATAAACTTGTCAGTGTAATTTTGATCCAAGCATATTAAGATTGGTAAAACTACACCTGTATGAATATTTTAAGTTCACTTTAGTAAAATGGATATCTAAAGTATTTTGTTTGTTAAAATATTTTTTCTCCACACACCATTGTAAACATAGCAATGGATAAAAGTTGG